TATTTAATATTAACTATACATATTTAAATTAATTTGAAACTTTAAAGTAATACTTTGTTTAATATGAATTATGATATTTACTATTTACCAAAAAATAAANTTCAGCAAGGAGGTCATGCACAATGACTTGTAATTCTTGGACTTGAGTTATGACCGACCTCGTGTCAATCATCTTGAAATCCAAAAACCTTGCAGCCACGAACTTCTTAAGTCCGGCATCCTCAGTCTTGTACTATTTCTCAAGCGCATTCCATAACGCTTTTGAAGTTTCCATGACACTATAGACATTGTACAAGCTATCTTCCATAGTCACTAAAATGGACTGCGTACTCTGAAACACTGATAGCACCCTGGCGCAACTGCTCAAACTCTGCGCGCCATGCGTCCCTGAGGCTCTGAGGAACATACTCTCTCAAAAATGTATTCGAGAACTGAGTCCATGTAAGGGAAGCTGCCTCAGCCGGACTGTCCAACTCATAAGTACGCCATCATTGATAGGCTGCTCCTCGAAGCTTAAAGGCAATGAATGAAACCCCACTTGACTCTGCTATTCCCATAGTACGGAGGATACGGTAGCACTCCTCCAGAAATCCCTAAACATCCTCTAATGCTAGACAACTAAATGTAGGAGGGTCGTACTTCTTGTACCTCTCAAGCCTATGCTGCTCCTCCTCTGAAGCTGCTGCCCTACCCTCGGGCTGAACTGGGGGTAAAGGTGGTACGGTATAACCTCTGGAATAAGATCAACCTGGACCCGCTACTCTGGGTTGCGGGCGGCGGGAATCTGTGCTCCTCCCCCGACCTAAGATGTGGCTGTACCAAGGGGAATCACCCCTGCCTGAGCTAGAGTGTTGTACATGCTCATGAACTGTGCAAGGGTTTCCTGAAGAGCTGGAGTAGTAGTAGTAGGCGTATCAGGTGCCTGTGCTCTGACGGGTGGCTCCTCTGTAGCTCGCTCGGGTGCTCTGGGTGCACCACATGTGCGTCCTTGGTCTCTACCCCAGCCCCGGCCTCCGGCAGCTCTAGTAGGGGCACAGGTGCCTGGTCATCTCCAGCAGCACGTGTCCTCACCATCTGTGAGAGAATAGAAGACGGAAGTTTAGAATTGCGAAGTCAATAATCTCGCACGACAAGGAATCAAATGAAGTGGTATTTTCCTAACAGTTCCATAGCCTCCGTAAGATAAGTACAGACGTCTCCGTACCGATCCGCGAGACTCTAATAAATTAGCTTATGACTTACGACTCCTATGAACCTAGAGCTCTAATACCAACTTGTCACGACCCAATTTCCCCCTCCGTGAGTTGTCGTGACGGCACCTAGTCTCTACTACTAGGTAAGCCTAACACTTTGCGGAAATAAAAGAAAAAACATGAAAATCAATTACTTACAGCAACAAATATCTAATAAGCAACTGGATGCCACTCGGCATATACAATTATTACCTCTGAAATATACCAAACAATTCCCAAAATCCAGATTATCGTAAGTCACAAGCTACTAAGAAGTCTTAACTGTTCTATACATCATTTCATTTCTATAGAAAGAAGGAAAAATGCACATAGGAGGATAGAGGGGGACTCCGAGGATCTACGGGAGCGGGCAGATGTACCTTGAAATCTCCAATAAGCATCACCGACTACAACTAGTAATAAGGCTGGTAAGATGAACCTGGATCTGCACATGAAAAATATGTGTAGGAAAGGGCATGAGTACACCACAATGGTACATAGTAAGTGCCACCTCGATCGAGTAGTGACAAGATCAGGTCAGGGCCCTACTGGTATATATATAATAAAATTTAACAGAAAGAAATATATCGCAGTAAGAATAAATACTGAAATTTAACAAGAATATAAGCATAGAAGAACAACCTAAAAACACAAAGATAACAACAGGGGATCTCCCAGGATACCGTCCCGAGTCCCAAACGTAAATGTGCAGGGGGATGTCCCGGAATACCATTCCGTAGTCCCAAAGTAAATATGCAGTGCTAAGGGATCTCCCGAATATCTTTCCATAGTCCCAAAGTAAATATGCAGCTCAAACAATAGAATTTCAACTACAAACGGAAATCCTACAATTTAGACTAAGTACAAGTCAATGAAGAAGCCGGAAATTTCACTAAGCATGCTGCACAGAGTTCAGATAAGCAATTAAAACACGTAGACCTGATGTCCTAAACTAAACATGATAATTACATATGCTGGTGTAGCTCAGTTAAAGGAAAACATATATTTTACTTAATGAAAACGGAGTTTTTCAACAAATAGCACGTGTACACACTCGTCACCTCACGTACACGGCGCTTATATATCAAACAGTACCAAAACCTAAGGGGAGTTCCCCCACACAAGGTTAGGCAAGCAACTTACCTCGAACCAAGCTTAATCAATCAATCACAAATGCTCTTTCCACGACCTAGTCGAAGAGATCGAAGCAAAGTCATCAATTCAACAATTCGAATGGTCTCCCCTATGATTGACCTCTTTTCCAAATAAATCGAACCTCGATACCACATTCATCAAAAAGATATGGCCATCTCTCTAGGTTGCACAACCCCTTTAGATCGTCCTATTCGTGATATCCGACTTCGAATGGCCTAAATCTAGCCAAAATCAATTACATAACATAATAACTACAAGGAACTAATCTAGCTAAAGAAACCAAAGCTAAAGCAAGAAATCAGAAAATCGCTCAAAAAGCCTCCCCGGGCCCACGTCTCGGAATCGGGTAAAAGTCACAAAATATGAATACCCATTCACTCACGAGTCTAACCATACCAAATTTACTCAAATTCGATACCAAAAGCTTAATCAAAAACCCCAAAATACGGCCTAAGAACTTTTCTCAATTTTTCACCCCAAATCCAAAATTAAATGATGAAATCAAGCATAGATTAGTGGGATATAACCATAAAGGAGTTAGGAATCATTACCCAATGACTTCCTCTGAAAATCTCTCTAAATTTCACCTTCTACGAGCTCCCAATTCAATTTTGTGATATGAACTCAAAACCCTCGTTTTTGAACTTTAAATTCTGCCCAGGTATGCCCTTCTTCGCGAAAGCGGTCAAAGCCTCGCTTTCGCGAAGCACAAATTTCATCAGACCGAAAATCCCTTCTACACGAATGCGATCAACCACTTGCGAACGCGAAACGCATTGACCCCCTCTCATCGCGTTCGCGATCTTACCTCCGCGAACGCGTAGACCAAATGGATGGGTCCCCAGCTGCTTCACTTTCCTCTACACGAACGCGTTCTACTCCCCGAGTTCGCGATGCTAACACTGACCATACCTTCGCAAACGCGGGCTCCTTTTTGCGAACGCGAAGAATAAACTCAAGTCGTCCTCCCAGATGCCTTCACGACGAAAATTTCTGCAACAAAATACCAGAAAATCTGTCAACTCTCAGTCCAAAAGTGATGTTAACCACCCGAAATCAACCCGAGGACCCCGGGACCTCAACCAAGCATACCAACCAATCCTAAAATACCATACGAACTTAGTCAAGCCCTCAAATCATATCAAACAATGCTAAAATCACGAATCACCCTCCAATTCAAACTTAAAGAACTTGAAACTTCAAAACTCTACAACCGATGTCGAAACCAATCAAGCCACGTCCGATTGATCCCAAATTTTGCACACAAGTCATATTCAACACTAGGGACCTACTTCAACTTCGGGAATCGAATTCCAACCCCGATATCAAAAATTTCACTACCCGTCCAAAATTCCAAAAATTCGACTTTTGCCATTTCAAGCGTAAATAAGCTACGGACCTCCAAAACACAAGCCGGACACACCCCTAAGCTCAAAATTACTCAACGAAGCTAACGGAACTCCATTCCGGAGTCGTCGTCACACAGTTCCGATTATGGTCCAAATTCTAAGACTTAAGCCTTCGTTTAGGGAATGTCCCAACCATTTTCAAAACCAAAATGAAACCTCCCGGCAAGTCACAATAACAAAAATAGATACGGGCTAAGGGAATCGGGGATCTAACTCTCAAAACAACCCGCTCGGTTGTTAAACCAACTCCCAGAATCAAAATTCGAACCGAATATCAACAAAGTCAACTCCCGGTCAAACTATTAACCTTCCAAACCTTCAACTTTTCAACTTTCGTCAAAAGCATCAAATCAACATGTAGACCCCCAAATCCATGTTCCAACATATGCCTAAGTCCAAAATCACTATACGAAGCTATCGGAACCATCAAAACACCATTCCTGAGCCGTCTACATAAAAGTCAAACTCCGGTCAACTCTTAAAACTTAAGCTTCCAACCTTGGGACTAAGTGTCCCAATTCACTCCAAAACCTCACTGAAACCAAACCAACCACCAGGGCAAGTCATGTAACTACAAATACACATAAGTGAAGTATCAAATAGGGAAAACGGGACTAAAATACTCAGAATAACCGGCCGGGTCGTTACAATTATATGGGAAAAGGGAGGGCATAGTGAGAATTGAACACACGTTTAATGTGTGTAATACTTTCACCAATGTCACTAGATTAGTACAAGTCTTGGTGATGAAAATTGATTTTGGTATTTGACTCGATTGATATTAATTTAGGTTAGAACTCTAAATCCGCTCGTTTAAATCTTGGGTCTACCCCTGGCTCTATGACTAGAGCAAACCTCACTTGCGTCCATCTCTGTATATTTATTTAGGTGGACATACCAAAAATTAAGCTAAGGTTAGAGCAACATTAAATGGGGTAAATTGGTGTATTAAGAATGGCTTCACATATATAGTGATTGAAATTTATACTATTTCTTGCATAAGTAGTGATAGGTAATATAGTTGCAAATGAACTTGCTAAATTAGTTGCACAAGGTGGATCAAGTTTAATTTGGCTGTCTGATGAAATTTTCCAGATTTGGAGTGGATCCAATATTTTCACAAATAAACGGTGAAAACACAGGAGCGGTGAATTGTACTCGTTTTAAAATATTGATCGACTTAGTTTAGCACACACAAGTGATATGAACAAGAAGCAAAAGCAAAGAGTTAACATACACAAGTAGAATATGTTTCTGAATGAAATTGATGGAAGTAGAGAAAGAAATTAGGGTACAGAAGGAAGTACATTCATGGATGAATGTTCTGAATAAAGTCCTTAGCTGAATAACCTATTATTCACTTGAATAAAGAAGACAGTAAGAATGAGCTAAAAAAATGGTTGAAAGTTCATGATTCTGCCTTGACTTGTGTTGTTCTCTTGTCATGATCACCCTCGAGCTGGCTTAAGTTTCCTTTCTCCTTGATTAGTTGAATATGGTGATGTTTGCAGTAAAGGCGCCCCTCGTGCGCAATATAGTTGGATGGGCTAATTGTACAGCCACCATGGCTACATTTGAAGCAGCTTTTGTGGTATGGTGTTCCATTCACTGATACCTATATAAATAGAGTCAAATCCAAGATCCAGAGTCAATCGATGATATTATATATGTACGTTTAATTTCTTTCTGCATATATACGTACCTTTTCTGTTGGATAGACAGTATTCTTGCAGCCAAAACATTTCTCCCTTGTTCCAACAAACATGCTTGAGACTTTAGCAGCATGTGGTTTCTGTTTTAAATATTCAACATAGATTAGTTATTTACAAAATAGCCTCTCATATATTAACAAGCTCAAGTTATGAAGTTATTCAGTGTTAATTACCTCGTCTTTCTCTGGCTTCACAATTTTGGGTGTCCCTGGAATAATAATTTCAATCTATCAGTAACTTTTCTGATTTGTAAAAATCAATTTTGAGTTATATATGCACTTTTTCTCTCTACCTTCAAAGCTTTTGTCCAGACTTCCAGTTCTTTTGAAGAGCTGATCAAAGTGAGGTCTACAGTAGAGAACTCCCTCAAAGGAATTGTAGTTGCTAAGCTGCAATTGAAGCCAATAATATGCATTGATTATTAAGATGGAAAATTGGATTAACAAGTCTAAATCTACTTTCTTACTGAAATCAAAAAATGAAACATTGAATACAAATCTGAACAATGAGATCTGCTGGATTGGCTTAGTAAAAAAACAGAATATAAGAATGTAGTACTAGATAAAAATGGACAAACCTTGAGAGTACCCTTGCAATGATGGCATCTGAAACAAGCTTTATGATAGACTCTATTGTCTGCAGTTAATTTGTCGACTAAATATACTGTCTTTTCACATGCCATACATTTCTGTGTTGTTCCTGCAAATGCCATTGTCAAGTTTTTAGAGGTGTTTTTTGAGTCTTTCCCCCTGTCTTTCTTGATTTCTGAGTCTTGGAGTTGGAGAGGAGAATGGGGGCAAGATAAGAGAAAGAATGTAGATAAAAAGTTATGGTGAGGCAAAAACGAGCAATTTAACTAATTGAGAAATGGACATTTGACTGTCATTTTGTCCCCACTATGATTATGAAGCATCCAACTACCCCCACTTAAGGCCTTTTTCTTTTTGGGCTTCCCCTTGAATTTTTACACAAATTTGTCATTTCATCTAGGTATATACCAAGTTTTCACTAAAAGGGAAGTCTTGCCGCAATTGTACGATCAAGAGGCCACGATTTCAATCATGACAAAAATCTTTTTGTAAAAGTATAAAGTAAGATTGTGTACAATAAACTAATGCGACCTCTCTTTTTTTTTACCTTTGTGCATAGCGAGAGTTTTATCGAGTTTTTGCTTCTTTAGTAGGCGAGAATATAAAAGTATATTTACTGACATGAAATACATAAGTGAAAATGAGAATGAAGTTAGTCATGATTGTTACTTGCGTAGCTATCAAAGTTCACATGCTGTGTTGGAGACCAGTTGGTAAAATGCGACTTTGTGCTTACAGATTCAATTGATTTGTTACTGATATAGTAGTAATATCACATGAATTACTGTTACCTGCTCTTATGAAATATCTACAGTCATCAATGGACCGTTAAATTATTAATTATATTATTATTATTGTCATTAATATGAAAACAAAGTTTTGCTGGACCATATGCATACAAATCGACCCGTTAGATTTTCAAATTCAAATACAAATTGTTAGTGGCACTCACTCTTTCCCCGTCCAAAGGGGGCACATGTCGCAATCATAAATTGTTATGTCGTTTATGAGTTATTACTATTTAAGAGTATCTTTCAACTCAATTGGCAGTCTTAAATTATAATGGTAAGTCCTTGAGATCAAGAGGGTTGGCCAAACTTTTAAGAGCCCGATTGGCCAAGCTGCCAAAATTTGCTTATTTTAAAATTTTTTTTTTCAGAAGTATTTTTTTCAAAAGTACTTTTTAAAACAAATAGTTTGTGTTTGACCAATTTATTTAAAAAGTACTTTTTGCAACATTTGGTAAATAAATTGTGTTTGGCCAATATTTCTAAAAAGTACTTTTGAGTGTCAAATTACCAAAAAGGATAGTACTAAGGTCTTATAATTCTTTTAAAGAGAAAAATGAACTCAAATATTTATCGTAAGGTTATTTTATTTAATTAAAATATAAAGCATAAAGTAAACAAACATATTAAAGATTTAAATCAATTTTACACATATAGTTATACCAAAGCATATATTATTATCTAGTATAATTACTTATTGTTACATGATGATTTGAATCATCAAAATACATCATTCAGTATGAATAAGAAGTCTATTCCACAAATTACTATATATTGATAATCTACCATGAAATAACAAATAAAGTCACTCACACATGATAATATTTCTCAACAATTTCATTTCCACGTCTATCACACAACGCCTCCATATTAGTAGAAGACTTGCCTTGTATTTCTAAAGGAGTATCAGAAGGTCCATCTACTTCCTCAATCTCTGCAGTAATGTCTTCATTAGCATAATAATTCAATTCTTTATCGGTAGAAGAATGTCGTCGGATGAAATTATGTATAGCCATGGTAATTGTAGCTAGATGATTCTGAGTGTCAAACTTGAAAGATGGCATTGAACGTAAAATAGAAATAATTTTAAATATATAAAAATAAATTTTTTCTGTAAAAAAAATAGTTAAGTATGTTTATATTCAAATTCAAAAAGAGTAACGAATTAATAACAACACATAATGTATACTTTTTTTTAAAAAAAAAAATTTAAATTCAAAAACAAACTAATTAGTATTACTAACCTTACTAACTTTGTCCTAAATTGTCAAGTGACCTATTGTCAGGCTGCCACTTGGCTTAATGTGTGATATTTTTTCTTCTTCTTTTAATAATGTATAGATAGATTATGCGATGAAATTGTAAATTTATTACCTATTTGTAGGTAATTTTCACAAATTAGATTTGATAACTGTTTTAAAGATTCGAGAACTAATAGCATATAACAGAAGAAATTATAAATGATTATTTGTAGGAAGAGATTTGATAGTCCAAAGAAGGATGTAGATAATTTGCCTTAGTGTCAAAGAAGAAGATAATTTGGAAAGTTACAAGACATTACACAAAGAACAAATCAAAAATAAGAAAGTCAATAAAGAAATTGGAAAGTTACAATATGATTCATGTATATGATATCTTTAATTTTAAAAGAATGGTAAAAACTAGAAACAAAAATGAAAATAAAAAACTTAAATTAGTAAGGGATAATTTGGAAAATATAAATTTATGGTGAGGATAGTTTTGTCTTGAATAAATTAATTTTTCACTTCTGCTTCTGCTTCTTGGAAGAAGCTAGAATTTTCTGCTTCTTCCTAAAAGCAGAAAAACTACTTCTGCTGCTGGCCAAAAGTACTTATCTGTATTGGCCAAACAGCTTAAATTTTTTTAAAAGTACTTTTTTGAACGAAAAGTACTTTTGGCCTCCTAGAAGCTTGGCCAAACAGGCTTTAAAAATTAGCTTAGAAGTATCAAAAGTATTTTTTATGAGAAGCAATTTATGTTTGGCAATCCAATTTGAAATGCACTTCTGAGCAGCAATTAGTGTTTGATCAAGCTTTCAAAAAGTACTTCTGAGTGTATTTTTTTTTAAGCAAATCCACTAGGCAGGTGCCTAGGGCTAGTTTTATTAATACTAAAAAGAAAAAAGAACCACATAGGAAGAGTACAAATAAGGGGGACAATAGCACCAGTAGTGTTGCCTCTATGCCTTGGCTATATAATCACTTCTCTGCGCCTCACAATGCCCTTATGGCAGCCTCATGTAGAGGAATCATGGGGTAGCTGCCGGCAAAGTCTCACGAGGGCATATAATCTCATAGCCATTTGGACATCTTTCCAAAGGCATAGGGCTAGAGCAACACAAACTGGGCTAAACCTTACCTTACTAATCCTATTGAGGCAAATAAAAAGCCTCACTTACTAGCATGCATGTAAAAAGAAAGAACTAGCTAGAACTAGATATTTTATGATCATCACAGAGTTTATAACATACTCTGTGATGATATTACATAGAACAATACTAATGTGATAGTAAAATATAAATATGTAGAAATAACAGTGATGGTCTTTCTTCTCTAGTGTTGTGAAATCTTCAATTTGTATCCGCTTGTCTTCATCCTCTACCTTTCTTAAAATGTCTTCAAAATTCATGCTTTCTTCTTTGAACGATTGGACTTTGTGGATGTAGTTTGGATGGCCTGTCTCTGTTTGGAAACTCTCATTGGAAGTCGCCTTACGTTTACATCTTCATTTATCCTGCCGTCCCAACTTTTATCCCTTGTACGAGACTTCCTACTTTTTCCGCTATGCATGGGTGATAAGTCACCTTTTCTTGCTGCCTCTTCCTTACACAGTTGTAGCATTGCATCTTCTTCTCCTTGTTCAAAAAATTCTCTCCCTAAATTCACAGGTTGTGGGGCATTTTGGACAGTATCGAGTGACACCAAGGCAGATTCTCCATGTATAGTTGCCACCATTGCCTTACTTTGTTGTTGTCCGGTGTGTTGCAATTTATTCTTACTCTTATTTACAGGACCTGTGCTAAGCATATTAGGAATTACTGGTTTAGAACTTATCATTGCCTCCAAAAGCATTCTCTCCTCCTCTGAAATAGCCGGTTTGGTTGTCACCAATTGTTGCTGCCCAGGTTTTGCTCGTTCACCTGTAGAATTTGCAGCTAAAACATTCTGCCTTGTACCTACTGCAGCAGCTTGACTTGATCTTCTAGTTGGAGAATTGCTTTTAGTACCTGGAGTATGTTGCTTGGAAGATGTTTCTGCATCATGAAGCAAACTTTCAGCTGGCGCAACTGGAGGTGACATTCTGAGAACAAATGCAGGAGCATGGAGGTTTAATTTGCTCGTGGAACCTTCTGCAATTTTCCCATGAGACTTTGGCTTAACTAGAGAATCAAGCTCCTCACCTGCACTATCCTGATCCACCTCCTCATCACCTTCTTCAGCTGAGTAACCTGCAAAACCATCGCCCCAATCCTCTTCATCGTCTTCCTCTCGTTGATCTTGCCACAACTTGGATCTAATAGCCATAAAGCACTTCTAAGCTAATTTTTTCTGTTTCTCCAAAATAATTTCTATTTCTACTCAAAAGCACTTTTTTTTCTTCTAAAAGTTTGGTCTAACACTTCAGCTTTGAAACAAAAAGTACTACTTTCAATGACCTTGGAGAAGTTTAGCCAAACAGGCTATAAGTCTCATTTTATTGAGTATTATTTATCGTCCTTCTAATTATATGTGACTGCCATTTTTTTGGGGAGGTTTCTCATCAGGTGTTTGGTATTCGCATTAGAGCCCGACTATACCTGGATTTGTACCACATAGGACCCCATTCAGGAGAAAACGTTCCATACCAAGAATTTTTCCATACCTAAGGTTCGAATTCGATACCTCTTGTTAAGGGAAAAGTAGCCTCATCCGCTGCGATCAACTGCACCACAACCCCAAGTTGAAAAAGAATTGGGACAGTAATCCATCATTTGAATAACAATCAACTGATCAGACATTCCAAACTAGTTTGATCGACTATATGGATCCTTCTATATAATTTTATTATTTTAATATTGATCATAGACGTCCCACAACTTTGAGCCAGCTACCCTTTTGTGACGTAAGCATTGTTTATCCAGTATCTTAATGTTATTGATAAAGTAAAATCTTTGAGTATTCAAATGCTATTTTGTCGGACTCGTCTAAAATTTAGTTAAACATGTTACAATCTGATTTCTTTCAAGAGAGGAAGAGAGATATTTTCAAAGTCGTTGAGAAGTTGATTAACATATTTACAGCTGTAAACTGAAAGTATTAACTAGCAGTACGATTTAATTTCTTGGTTGATCACCAGATTACGAGCTCGTTTGGCTTAGCTGATTTAGAGTAGCTGATAAGCATAGGTGCTGAAAAGCAGTTTTAAGTGCTGAAACTGATTTAAAAAATAAGCAGTTACGTGTTTGGATAAAAGTGCTGAAATTAATAATAAGTAGCTAA